GTGACCAATTTGCCCCAACCAGTCTAGACTTACCTGTTTTTTTTTTAACTGAAAATCCCACGTCCTGGGAACCTATCTCAGTCCTGGGCAAACCAGGAAGGTTTATCATTCTAAAACTAAGGAAACCAGTTACAAAGCTGTCACCCCACCTGATAAAATGTGGATGATTTGACAGAGCATTTTAAGAATAAAAAAAAAATTCCAAAAGTATGGACATCTGTGTGAAACATGGCTTTGAAGAGGTAGATTAATCTAGAATAGAAAAAATTCAAATAACCTACCTGCACCTACGGATAACTTAAGTGTATGCAAAAAGAAGTGACAACACAGTGTTCTTTTGAATGGGTCTAAAGATGATGCTGTCTATTAGAAATGATTTGGTAATTTGTATTTAAGTGATTACGTCAGAGGCGGGTTGGACCTCTGGGCCCTGTTGTGTATGAAGCTATTTTAAAAACAAAAGTTGCCACAGAACTAGTACTTGCCAGTCAGATGATGATGGAAATTGTTCCCAAACTGTGAGACACACTGTGAAGTCTGGAAAACTCACAGAGAAGGTGCCAATTTGAGAGGGAAATTTGTTAGGAACACCCACTGTCGTGGATACCTGCTTGTCCTCGGATGTACTGCAAACACTGCTGAACTCAGTTGCCAAGGCAGTCAAGTAAAGATTACACCTCAGGGCTCCTCCGGGCCCGCGATCCACCTGCAGTGAAATGGACTCGCCTGGAGACGCAGGCAATTACCACTCAGCCTCATATTTAGCTCAAGGGGCAGGGAATAAACATACACCAGGAAAACGTGAGGCAGTTTTACAGAAAGCTAACAGCCATGTGACCATTTTTCTAGTTCTAAAGATCTAGTCTTTCAAAGGAATCAATATGCAAAGGAAAAAAAAAAAGCACCAATTTCCTCTGTAAGTATGCTGCCTATAAAAGCCTGAAGGAATTGGGGAGGAAGCAGGGAGGAAAGGATAAATCGGGGACTCCTGGGAAGAACACTTTGCAAGAATGTCTTTCTAGACCCCAGGTAGTTATCCTGAGATTTAGAGCAGGTTCCTCCTGCCCTGACTCTGCAAGGCAAGAGGTGAATCAGAATGCCCTGGACAAACTGTTTTCGATTCCATTTACCTCTCCAAGCCCCATCCCCAGAGATTCCAGCAGGCCCTGCTAAGGGGAAGTCATCAAGGCGCATAAAGGAAATAAAAAGCTAAATCAGCTTAGATGTCAATGTGAGAATTTAAGAGCAGGGACTAAACCCTGGGAACCCTTCAGTACAGGCCGTAGCTGCATGCGGCAGGAGGAAACCTCCAGAAAGCAAAATACACGCAGTCACTTCATTTATCAATATGTTTTGACCTCCTATTGTGTGCCAGGAAGAGCGCTGGGCAGAGGGGACCCAGGGTGGAATGAATGAGAAACAAATCCTATCCTCAGGAAGATTAGTCTGGAAGGAAGAAGCATCCAGTGATCTTCCACAAAACTGAGAGTATCTGTGATAAGTGCTAGGGAGGAGGGACCCAAGGCAGTAAGAGAAGAAGGCTGGGGGCTTGACTCCGTTGGAGCATCAGGGAGAGCTCTGCCTGGAAGGAATCAGGTGAGCAGAGAAACAGGATAAATAAGTAGGAATGAAAGGGGCAAACGAGACGAGGATGGAGGAGGATATTCCAGGGAGGAAATAGCACATGTAAAGGCCCTGGGGTGGGAGGAGACACAGAAATGAAACCACCAGGTCCGGCTGAACCTCAGGTAACGAAGCAGAGCAGAGCAGACTGGGAGGCCAGACAGTGAGCTCCCAGGTGATACGGGAATCACAAGGCACGCGCCCGACTTGACAAGGCCTCACGGACCATGTTAGCAATTTTGCTTTTTATCCTGAAAGCCATGGGGAGATGTTAAGGTGTGCTAAGGAGGGGAGAGATATGATCAGATTTACATTTTGAGGCAATCAATTTGAGACAAGAGTAGAGGTGGGTGTTCAGTTAGGAAGTAGAGAATGGTAGCACAGACCAAGAAAACAGCCTGTGCATTGCAAAATATTGGGGGTGGGGGAGGAAATGTACTGGTCTGAGAGGAACTCAGGCAGTGAAGTGGACAGAGCTTGGTGCTGGCCATGAAACATGACTGATGGGGAAAGGACAGGATTGGCCTCCAGGCTTCCGGCTTCTCCAATTAATTATATGATGGGGCCATTCATAGAGCTAATACGAGAGATGAAACAGATTTGGGGACAATCACAGCTCTGTTCAGGCAGACTGAGTTTGAGATATTTTGACATACATGAGTAGAAATAGTTTACCTTTGAAGGAAATGGCCAGTTGAAGGTTTTTCAACCTGTCCTGTTAATTTCCCCCAAGAGAGAATGCAGTGAGAGTCCTCATTTAAGACAAAGACATACCTATAAAAGGCAGAAGCTTGCCCTAGATATCCCTGAGACAATTGTCATGACCATCAAGACCTTGATTTTGAGAAGAATGTCAGTCTTTTATGAGATATTAAAATACAGAGATGCTTTGGGATAGAGGCAGTTTGGGTTTCCCTTGTGGCTCAGATGGTAAAGAATCTGCCTGCAGTGTGGGAGACCTGGGTTTGATCGCTGGGTTTGGGAAGATCCTCTAGAGAAGGAAATCGCAACCCACTCCAATATTCTTGCCTGGAGAACCCCATGGACAGAGGAGCCTGGTGAGCTACTGTCCATAGGGTTGCAAAGAGTTCACACAACTGAGTGACTTGCACACGCACACAGAGGCTGTTGACTAGTTCACAGAACAAATTTGGCACAGCTGTGTCTATTTGGGGCAACAGACAAACATCTTTTTCAATAGATATGAAAATCTTTGTATGGAGAGCATTTATTTCAGAGAACCACCGCCTCTACAGTTGCTCAAGCTTTCTCCTGTCCGGTACAAGGAGGTGAGTGAAGGAGCTGCTCCCTGCGGAGGCACCTAGCCAGGGCTCCAGCCTGCAGACCACTCCCAGCTGCCCCAAATGCTGAGGAGGGCTGAGGGCTGGTTTCCAGAGCATTCCTGGAAATCATCACCACCCACCAGCGTGTCCTGACATACCTGCTGGGAAGTTCTGTTCTAGACATCAGTGCTTCTCAGGCTGTAAGATGCATGCAGTCCCCCTACAGATCTTGTTGAAATACAGATTCTAATTCTGTAGGTAAGCCTGAGAATCTGCATTCCTAATAAGTTCCCAAATGATATGGAAGCTACTAGTCTGGGGACCACAAAGCCACATGTTCCAAGCACCAGGAACCAGAGGTTAATTAATGGTTGTTTCTAGGTCTTCTTAAGGTAAAAGCTCATTTTCCTTGGTTCATGCTTGAGTAGTTAGTATTTGACTTTCTGACTTGATAAATGAATAGTGTGAGGCAAGAATTTGATACCAATGTCTTACAACTTTTAGGATAATTGTAAAAATGAGTGGCATCTAAGTGTCTCAGTCACACTGTAAAGGCAGAGAAACAGGATACAGCTCAAATTGTCTTCAGCATCAGTCAGCACAAGAAATAGCTTCAGATAAAGGAGAAATAATCTCAGGGGAAATAGGCTGTGGGTTGATAGAGGGACCTGGAGATGCAAGAAAGACGTAAGTCGAATGGGATCACTATCATTCTCAAAATGGTTGAAGCCTAGGATCTAGCAAAAGGATAAGGGTGCGAATGCGGAATTTTACTGCCAAAAATACAGTTCCTTAGTCTAACAGAGTAATTGGGAAGGGACTATGTCTCAGGAGCAATTGTTACAAGCTGATGATTCTGGTCTGAGATAAGTAATGCTTTTAGTAACCTGCTAGATGTTAAGGATCCACTTCTGAATAAGATGGAAAGCCTTGTGATAACTAGGGAAATTGAGAACAAAGTTCTAAAAGCCTTCTTGACGCATGATTTGGACTTCGGAAAGGTGCACAGTCTGACAATGAATAAAAACTTTTTGATAAACTTTCCCTGAGATTCTATAAGTCCTGGGAAATTCCATATTTATTAATAATTTTGAATATCATTTAAGTCCTCATAGCTACAGTTTTCTTCTAGTTAATGTCCATTTCATTCTGTGAAATCACAGTGTCAATTTAAAAAATTTGAAATTACTTTTATTTTGAAGAACATATCTTTAGTTCAAGGGCTCTAGCCAGTATAAGTAATGCTTTTAGTATTTAATTCTAAGAAAAGGGTTTACAGGTTTAGATGGCACACGAAAATAGTTTCTCTTGATTTCTTATTTAATGCCAAGAGAAAAACATGGAGCAATATTTAAGTATTGTTAAATAATTTTACAATGTTGCTCATGAGTATGGACAACAAAAGTACCTTCCCAATATTCTTGGGCTTAGAAAATGTATCACTTTTTACTACAACATCAGTGAACCTTGAAAACATCACGGCATTGAAAGAAGTCAGACACAAAAGGCCAGATAGTGAATGATTCCATTTCCAGAATAGGCAAATTCAAAGAGATAGAAAGTAGATTAGGGATTGTCTAGGGTTCAGAAGGGGGTTTAGGATTTCTTTCAGGGATGTTGAAAATGTTCTAAGATTGTGGTAATGGCTGCACAGCTCTTTAAATATACTAAACCCCACCAAACTATACACTTTTAAATGAGTGAACTGTGTGATATATACATTCATTACGTCTCAATAAAACTGTTATATACATGAAAAAAAAGGAAACATGTCACTTTTCTGTTCTTGAAAAAGGTCCAAAGACCTGTTCAGTTGACTAAGAGATGAATCAGAATTTTAAAAGTCAACAACTAAAAAAATCATATATAATGAGCATAAAATACATCCACATAATTGCGAATATGATTCCAAGCTGAGAGCATATGATCTTGAAAGAAAATATAAAAATAATACTTTCAATGACAACATTTGGATTTAAAATCTCAAGAGTTTCACAATAAACACCAAGAAGGAAGATGCCAGAAGGACTTGGGGGCGTCCAAAAGTGTTGAATTCCGCATAATATGAGAAAGGAAAGAATTGCTTATTCTTACCTGATGTTGATAAGCTGAGCAAAGTTATCTCCAACAGAAATGCTATAAAAAACATTAAAGGAAATTCTCCAGGTGAAGGGAGATGATGGCAGATAGAAGCCTAGATCTTCAGAAGTAAGTGAAGGATGCTAGACAGGACAGATCTGTGGATAAACATAGGAGACCCTATATTTGTTGAAATTACTGCTGACTGATGTGAATATACTTAAAACTACTAACCTGTACATTTAAAAAGTTAAGGTGATAAATTTTATGATATGTGTTTTTTAACCACAATTAAAAATAAAGCAATAAAAACAAACAAAAGCACTGCTGATGGCTTAAAGCAAAAGTAGTAAAATATGTGTGCATGCATGCGTGCTCAGTCATACCCGACTCTTTGCCACCCCGTGGACTGTAGCTCGCCAAGCACCTCTGTTCATGGAATTTCCCAGGCAGGATCACTGGAGTAGGTTGCCATTTCCTTTTCCAAGGGATCTTCCTGACCCAGGGATTGAACCCAAGTCTCTTGCATTGGTAGGCGGAATCTTTACCCCTGCACCACCTGGGAAGCCCCAGTAACAATATATTATAGTGTTATAGTATATATAGAATAAACTTACAACAATTGTATAAGGGGCAGGAGAGCGGGTTAAAGGAATTAAAGTGTTGTAATATCTTACATTGCTCATGAGACATTACAAATATATAATTTCTAGAAAAATCACACATGTGTAAACATACACGTAAAACACAAGTCAATAGAGGAGATAAAAGTCAATGGAGGAGATAAAAAAGAACACTAAAAATATGTATTATTATACTAGATGGAAAAACAAATATTATTTCATTCACTAACAAGAAGCAGAAAGAAAGGCACAAATGAACCCCAAACAGATGGGACGAATAGAAAATATATATCAAGATGGTATATTTAGACTCAACCGTACATTATCAGTAACTACATTAAGTGTAAATTGACTAAACAATTCAGTTAAAAGGCAGAAATTTTTAGGTTGGATTGAAAAGCAAGACTTACAACATGCTATTTGAATTAAAAAACGTTACTTTAAATACAAAAACACAGGTTGAAAACAAAAGGGTAGAAAAAGATTTATCTTGTATATTATTTATCTATTGCTACATGATAAATTACCTCCAAACATAGCAATCTAAAATTATAAACATTTATCTCACAGTTTCTATAGGTCAGATAGCTGGGTACAGATTAGCTGAGTGTCTCTGATGAAAGGTTCCTCATGAGATTGCAGTGCTGGCCACTCAGAATTGTCTAGTCTCATCTGAAGGCCCACCTGGGGGTAAATTTGGTTCCAAGCTGACTCCTCAGGACAAGCGAGTGAGTGTAAGAGAGAGTGCCCAATAGTCTCTTTGCAAACTAATCCCAGAATTGATGTCCCGTCACTCCACTGCACTGCATTTGTTAGACTCCAGTCACTGAATCTAGCGGACACTCAGTTCAGTTCAGTTCAGTCACTCATCGTGTCCGACTCTTGAGACCCCATGAATCACAGCACGCCTACCCATCACCAACCCTCGGAGTCCACCCAAACCCATGTCCATTGAGTCAATGATGCCATCCAGGCATCTCATCCTCTGTTGTCCCCTTCTCCTCCTGCCCTCAATCTTTACAAGCATCAGGGTCTTTTCAAATGAGTCAGCTCTTCACATCAGGTGGCCAAAGTATTTGAGTTTCAGCTTCAACATCAGTCCTTCCAATGAACACCCAGGACTGATCTCCTTTAGGATGGACTGCTTGGATCTCCTTGCAGTCCAAGGGACTCTCAAGAGTCTTCTCCAACACCACAGTTCAAAGGCATCAATTCTTTGGCACTCAGCTTTCTTTACAGTCCAATTCTCACTGGAAAACTGGAAAAACCATAGCCTTGACTAGACAGATCTTTGTTGACAAAGTAATGTCTCTGCTTTTTAATATGCTGTTTAGGTTGTCTAGGTTACTTTCCTTCCAAGGAGTAAGCGTCTTTTAATTTCATGGCTGCAATCACCATCTGCAGTGATTTTGGAGCCCCGAAAAATAAAGTCAGCCACTGTTTCACTGTTTCCCCATCTATTTGCCATGAAGTGATGGGACCGAATGCCATGATCTCAGTTTTCTGAATGTTGAGCTTTAAGCCAACTTTTTCACTCTCCTCTTTCACTTTCATCAAGAGGCTCTTTAGTTCTCCACTTTCTGCCATAAGGGTGGTGTCATCTGCATATCTGAGGTTATTGATATTTCTCCCGGCAATCTTGATTTCAGCTTGTGCTTCCTCCAGCCCAGCGTTTCTCATGATGTACTCTGCATATAAGTTAAATAAGCAGGGTGACAATATACAGCCTTGACGTACTCCTTTTCCTATTTGGAACCAGTCTGTTGTTCCATGTCCACTTCTAACTGTTGCTTCCTGACCTGCATATAGGTTTCTCAAGAGGCAGTAGTTTCAGCATTCTTTGGCATTGCCTTTCTTTGGGATTGAAATGAAAACTGACCTTTTCCAGTTCTGTGGCCACTGCTGAGTTTTCCAAATTTGCTGGCATATTGCACACAGCACTTTCACGGCATCATCTTTTAAGATTTGAAATAGCTCAACTGGAATTCCATCACCTCCACTAGCTTTGTTCATGGTGATGCTTCCTAAGGCCCACTTGACATTCCAGGATGTCTGGCTTTAGGTGAGTGATCACACCATCATGATTATCTGGGTCGTGAAGATCTTTTTTGTATGGTTCTTCTGTGTATTCTTGCCACCACTTCTTAATATCTTCTGCTTCTGTTAGGTCCCTACCATTTCTGTCCTTTACTGGGCCCATCTTTGCATGAAATGTTCCCTTGGTATCTCTAATTTTCTTGAAGAGATCTCTAGTCTTTCTCATTCTACTGTTTTCCTCTATTTCTTTGCATTGATCGCTGGGGAAGGCTTTCTTATCTCTCCTTGCTATTCTTTGGAACTCTGCATTCCAATGGGAGTATCTTTCCTTTTCTCCTTTGCTTTTCACTTCCCTTCTTTTCACAGCTATATGTAAGGCCTCCTCAGGCAGCCATTTTGCCTTTTTGCATTTCTTTTTCTTGGGGATACTCTTGAATCCTGTCTCCTGTACAATGTCATGAACCTCCGCCCATAGTTCATCAGGCACTCTGTCTATCAGATCTAGTCCCTTAAATCTATTTCTCACTTCCACTGTATAATCGTTAGGGATTTGATTTAGGTTATACCTAAATGGTCTAGTCGTTTTCTCCACTTTCTTCAATTTCAGTCTGAATGTGGCAATAAGGAGTTCATGATCTGAGCCATAGTCAGCTCCCAGTCTTGTTTTTGCTGACTGTATAGAGCTTCTCCATCTTTGGCTGCAAAGAATATAATTAATCTGATTTCAGTGTCAACCATCTGGTGATGTCCATGTGTAGAGTCTTCTCTTGTGTGGGGAGAGAATTAAGCAGCAGCATGAATACTTGAAGTGAGGATTAGTGGAGACCATCTTAGTGGTCCCTACCACCTTATGCCAACTTCAAGAATAAGAAGGCTGGTGTGGTCATGTTAATATCAAAGACTTCAAGACAAGTGTATTACTGGAGGTAAAGGGAGATATTTCTTAATGATAAAATGGTCAATTCATCAAAAAGACATGTATGCCACTAGTAACAAAGCATCAAAATGCATGAAGCAAATGTTGACAGAGTTATGAGGAGCAAGAAATGGATCCACAATCATAGTTTGAGATTTTCACACCTCTCTCTCCCAGTAATTATAGAACAAGTAAAGCAAAACTCATGTAGAATGTTTGAACAGTATTATCGATCTACCTGACTGAATTAACATCTATGGAAACTACACCATCAACTGGACAATATACATTCTATTCAATGTAGAAAGCACATAGAATGTTCACCAAATAGACCATATGCTGGGCCACAAAATAAATCTCTGATTACAATGAAATTTAATCAGAAATCATAACAACATCTAGGAAAAATTCCAACAATCTTGGAAATTAACCAAAAAAAATTTGCAAGTAATTTATAGTCAAAGAAGAAATCACAAAGAAAATTATAAAATATGCTGAATTGGAAAATAAAAATACGACATATCAAATATCATGGGATGAAGCTAAAGCAATGCTGAAGAGTGAAGTTAAATGATCTAAGCTTCCACCTTAAGAAGCTAAAAAGAGGAGAATATTAACACTAAGTGAGGATGTCCCTTGTGGTCCAGTGGTTAAGACTCCACCTTCCAATGAGGTGGTTGAGGGTTTGATCCCTGACTGGGGAACTAAGATCCCACATATGCCAAAATAATCTTGAAAAAGAACAAAGTTGGAATACTCACACTATCTGATTTCCATACTATCTGATAGCTATCTGATTTCAGACTTACTATCCCTGGTAAATGGAATAAAAGGCTAGCTTAAACCCAGTGGAACTTTAGAGACTCTGCATGACACCAGAAAGGTTAATTGGGAACAAAATGTAAAACTCCTGTGTGTGCTAAGTCACTTCAGTCGTGTCCGACTCTTTGGGATTCTAGGGACTGTAGCCCACCAGGCTCCTCCGTCCATGGGATTCTCCAGGCAAGAACACTGGAGTGGGTTGCCACGCCCTCCTCTGGGGGGTCTTTACCTCATGCTCTCGTGGCCCACAGGCTCTAGAGCATGGGCTCAAGAGTTGGGGTGCAGGAGCTTGGTCTGTGGTATGTGGGATTTTCCTGGACCAGGGATCGAACCTGTGTCCTCTGCACTGGCAGGCAGATTCTTTACCACTGAGCCATCAGAGAAGCCCAACTTCTGAGACTCAGTTTTGGTGTGTAAAATGGGAATAGTAGGGAAAGAAAAAGTTCTCCTCTCTCCTCTTAGGGCCTCTGTCTGGACCTAAGAATTAAATGGACATAAGACAGATTAACAGGAAAAAATATACACATTTAATTAATTTTTTTATGTATACAAGGGTGTCTTCACAACAGAAGGAAGACCTGAAGATGTGACTGGAGGAGGAAGCTTTTAGACCTTTTAGATGAAGAAATAATAAAATTGTGAAGAATTGTCAAGACAAAGGGATTTGGGGCAGGGATACTAAATGGTAAAGAAGTAACTAGGAAGATTGGGATTGGTTCAACAAGGTTTGTACAAATTTCTTAGCCCCAAATTCCCTGTC